GAATTAATAACTAAATTAACTAAAATCTTAATAAAGAAAATAATATCTAAACAATGAAAATAAAAATAAATAAATGAAGTGAACTTTCTAGTTCACGGTTCCTTCTACACACTCGACTGACTCGTCTAATCAACTTTAGTATCAAATCTCGTTATCTTATGAAATTACTAGCCCTAGGCAACGACACGGTCTGTTACCCGAATTTTTCCTTATTTTTAATCTAACCGCGAGACGCTCTACGATTAGACCTAACTTCTTGTACAGTCTAAAAAACGCTTCTTAGATTTAATACAATCAGTCGCTTTACGAATTAGAAAAATAGAATAGACTAAGTAGTGAACTCAACCGCGTTCGTTCACTTAAATAGGTCGTGTTATCCCCGGTAGTTACCATCTTCCGGATACCACTTGCGAATTAAACACATCAACAATTACGGATTGAAGTCCTAATTCGGGTGTAGATATGTAAAACCTAATCTAGGTGATCAATCTAAATAAGACTCAACACATCATGGTTAATTATTCAAAATAACACAAACAATTCCAAAAAGATAACTCAATAATCAACCACGTAAATTAATCAAACATCGTTAAGTCGTAGGGTTCAACTTCCCCGGAACTAGAAATAGAAACTAGCCTAACATGCTAAATAAAAATAAAAAGATAAAAGAGAGAGATTAATTATCTCCCTCGTGTGTGGATGCGGCCTCCCTCCACTTTTGATCGGGTTTCTCGCGTCTTCTGTGCTCTTTTCTGCGTATTTTCTTCTCCCAGCGGCTATGGCGTGGTTTAGGGCGTATGTCCCTAAGCTGCCAAGCATCATGTTGTGGCGTATGTCCCTAAGCTGCCAACCATTTTAATTCTTTGGTCCAAGAATTATTTAGTTCCTCCAAATTTGCTCCACTAACAAATAAAGCCTCATATTTTAGGCTTGGATATGCTGCCCCCAAAATTAATCTTGGCCCAAATTATACGGCCTATATTCGGCGCCGTATTGCCTGCTTCAATCTTCCTTCAATCTCATCATCCGTAAAAATACTTTAATATCCTAAAAATAAAACATACAAAAATCAAAGAATTATAATCCATCCAAAGAAATAAATATGTCAAGATATATATAAGTGCGATAAAATTAAGCATATAAAATACGCTAATAAAAATATAAAATACACTTTTTCCCACCAATCATATATCATATAACTACTT